GTATGTAACAAAGCAAAGCTTGCCCCAAATCATCAGGTATCACAACAGCATCTTTAGTATGAAGAATTCAAAGTATGTTCACGTGAATTCAAAGACCTCAGACCAGATTTTATTCAAATACATGTAACTTGCAAAACGCTTATTTGAATCAATTAAAGTTCTCCAAGACAAACAAAAACAAAGAGCCATAAGATTTTCATTCAGTTCCTTTTTCAGTAAACAGGATGATTGCCAACTCATCAAAAATTCCAGCAAATTGTTCAAACCTCAAGATGTGGCAGGTTGCGAGGACAGCACATTTTCCCAGATTTAAGAGCACTTCTTACCAAGCACTCACTCTCTTATGGGTCAGTGATTGCCCTCAGATTACATGGTGGGGCCTGTTCATTGTTACACTTGTTAGCAAAGTGCCCCCCCCCCAATATAAACACTTACAGAGACCTTGTGTTTTGTCCCTCCCACCTCCCATGTCCAATGTCAGGTGATACATTGTACATGCAGGCAGAGAGACATACATACCTGACAGACTGACAGCTACATGTATTTGAACAATTTGAAGCAAAGTGCAGCACCGAAAGCTGGGGTTGGTAAATTAGAATTAGAAAGAGGCTAGGGCTGGGTCTTATCATTGGGCTGGTAGTGATGGACGTTGAGCACTAGAGTACCCCTAGCAGCAAGGAGGAATGGTACAGTACATGAGCATCACCAAGCCTTGAAACATGTTCGTGTTGTACGAGTAAGCTCTAGGGACATGTATATGTACACAGTAATTTCCGTATGTATGAAGTTCATAGTACGTTTTATAAATCATATAGTCAGGTGTAAGTGTAGCCATTTTCATAAACATGTGGATTGTCAAAACTGATCAATTTTAAAGCAGGAGTTTCCCTAAAAAAGTCTGCCCAAATACCTGTATATCTTGTACCTTGGCTCAATGCCCAAATGAATACATTCTTAATTCCCTAATTAAAATGGCTATGCTGGCAGTTTTCCAAAGTTTGTCCTGCGTACTCCTTGTACCTCAGTTGACGAGTATCCGGAATACTCTGTAGACTGTGGGAACAAAGACACATCAAATGCAGAAAGTCTGCAGTCACCTCACCATTGCTAGTACTTTCAGACGAATCTTTCTACAGATTTTGACAAAATCAACTATACATGCACCCTGGGTCCAATACAAAATGCTGAAATGGTCAACTTCCAGTTTCCAGCTGCCAAGACAAAATAATTCTAAAGCAATTTTGACAATAGAGCCTGGAGAAACAAGAACAAATTATTATTGTCCCTCCTGGCTAGAGAGACACCCAGACAGTGTCAAATATGGGCCGATAAATCTGTTACATGGGGTGGGCCAAGTGCTATCGTTTATCAACTTCAACACCTGTAACCTATTAAGAGCTGTTGGCTGAGTAAAATGCCCACAGTACATTAACAGGATTGTCAACAGATAAACCTGTTTGCAAGATGATCAGAGAGCAAGGGTGCATGTATGATCCATTAATTTCCTTGCTTAGAAGCATAAATCAATTGGAAAAGGCAATTGCATGTGCCTCACACCAAGTCAGTCTGTTACAGTCACTAGTAACTTTGGGGATAAAAACTGACTATTGGAATGTGACTGTCTGGCCTAAGACCTTTGAATGAAACATTTCAAGAAGAAATGTTTTGCACTGCATATTTTTAGCAACTACAGGTGCCATGAATGTACATCAGGGTATGTACACGTATGTATAACTACACTAATGGCTGACAGGGTAATTTTTCACTTCCTAATGCCAATAAAGTAGACAAAATTAAGATTCTAACAAGGTTGAAAAATTACAAAACTATACATAGCCAGTTTAGTTAAAACGTGACCAGTTTTAGTGGTGTATGCAAGATTGTTCTGAAACTGTTTAAAATTCTCTGGCCTTTGGCAGTTTAAACCCTTAGGCCTATCAATCATGTCTACCAGAGGCAACCTGCTACACAAAGTATCAAGAGAATGCAACAAAATATCCCGGAACGGGACAAAATGCAGCTCAGACAATTATGCAGCATTGCACAGCACAGTGATTTTAACCGGCACCTGCCTTGCCACTTTGCAGTTACAAAGCATATAGCGTGCTGAATACCAGTCACTTGTATTGTCTGCCAAATCCAACCACGAACGGATACAACAGCATTTGAACCAAGTTGCTCTTTTTTCACTTTCTTCGTTCAGGAGGATTACAGTCAAAGAAATTGTGCATGGATTTACAAATTTACTGCATTTGGAAGGAAAAAGCCATTAACTTCTTTCCAGACAGAAAAAGCAAACAGCTATATAGTTGTACAAACTAGAAATTTACAAACGAATAGTACTGTTCCAATAAAAAAAAAAAAAAGGAATGTACAATTTGACTCTGGTGCATCATTTGTCCAGCACATATTCAATGAACAGTGTTTGTAATACTCTTATCTCTGGTAGAGTTCAATTACTCTGCAGATGATAAAAAATACCAGTAGATCAAACATGTATCAGGTTTCCCCACATCACTCAACTCTTTACATGCCTCCTGGAATGAAGGCATGCAAAAAAGTCAGCCACAAAAAGCAGAGAGCCTGTGATATATGATGTGCCACTGCTGGCAGTAAGGGATGATGGAATCTGTCAGTGCTATGTCCCTACAACGACCCGGTTACGCAGTACGTGATATCACCAATACTTACTGTCATTAGCAGAATCATATGCTTTACCATTTTGCGCACCCATTCTGACATCAGTTATATCCGAGTTGTTCAGACAAACCGCTCTGTCCACGACTTCAATAGGTATTGAGTTCCAATCCAAAAATGCTCATCAGTCCGGGCGGCGAATCTTGGCAATGTGGCTCCATGACACTCCAAGCCCCCTGTCTGGTACTCACTCAGCTGGTGATCAAACTCTTGATGTAACAAAAAAGGGCCAAAGTGGCTGTGGGGTGGTACTTTTCTTTTCAGTGACAGTGCAACAAAAGGTTTCCAGGTGGTGGACATGCACTAGCTGTTCAGACGCCTGGTGTGAAAGAAAGTAAAGAATAGGAGTTGGTGGTGGTGGTGGTGATCCCAAAGCTCAGGCTGGTTGACACTGAGACTAAGTTTGTTTTTCCTGGCCTGGCAGGGGGCTGGGCAATTAAAAATTGGGTTTTTTCTTCTCGATAGTAATGCAACGGCCAGTAACGGCCAGATCCCACTCCGACTGGTTCATTTCCATATGGTTTTACCCAGATTGTATTTTTGGAGCTGAAATCTCTTGAACTGTCTGAACTGCAACCCGAATGTCCATCGAAAACATGGCGATTATCAACACGTACAATGTACATGCAAACAGCCACTAAAGGAAGGAACAGAGGTCTTGGAGTACATGTGTTCAACCTTCATCCATGAAATCGAACATCACCGCAAGGCGTACATGTAAGTGTTGCGACATGTCTTGTCAATCATCATGTTGTCTGAGATTTGAATGACACGATATATTCAACATGACCGTACTTCAGAGTTGTACATGTACATGCACGCTTATAGAACATAGATGTGCAGATGTACATAGGTCATGCCCCCCCTAGACCTCAAGTTATGCCACTAAACAAGATGTACTAGTCGTTTCTTGGTTGAAGTTGCATATACATGTATTCACGAACTTAGCACTTATTTTTTATTCACTAAGTCACTGGTGAAATAAAAGGTTGATAGAAATTGGATTGGAAATAACTGAACAAAGTGCTTCAATTTGTCTGGTAAAATAAGCAGGGCCTCATGATCATGGGAAAATGGACATTTTCGGGTGCCACTTTGTTGCAGATTTTGTGGACTTTTTTAAATGTACACACAGTACATGTCATGCTGTCAGAAAATTTCCTCTAGCAAATGCAAGAAAAGCAAGTGAAATGAAACAGGCATGGAAACTCTATGTCCACTTTGTCAGGGTTTAGGCGATGAATAAGAAAAATGGATTAGAAACTATTCTTGACATCATAAAATTCTCTCTGCTCTCAAAGTATGGTTATTTTACCAACCTCAAGTTGCAAACAACAGGAAGACAGAGAATTTAGCAAAGATCAGAGATGGTCCAGTGTTGTTAGCATGGTGAGAAAATATTTCCAAAGAGTCCACTTGGACTACGTAAAAACCATGTGGCATCGTAATGTTAATTATGCACATGTTATGTTTATTCTGTCCAACAAAAAAAAAATTGCACATGATGTGATCTGGTAATGGTGACACCATTTGTTTGGTGAAAAGTAGAGACTGAATTTTGAAGCTGATTTTAAAGCAAAATTTTGGGCCAAAATGATGAATGTCACATAATAAATAAATGTGACCTAAATTTTGGTGCAGACAATTAAAACGTTGTGCTTTGGGCCTACGCTTGAACTAGTTGTTCTATACTTCACACTGAATCCAAATGAAGGAAAGTGATCATATCGTTTAGTTCAGCAGGTTTTTTTAAAACGAAGTGACCAACCATGAAACATGCATAAACAGTGCGATGTTCTAATTTCCATCTTCATGATTAGCCCACCAGCCATGCATGTCATCAGCCTACGCGAAAGCTTGCATAACATTTTGGGGGGGAGAATCCCACAATCCGGACCGATCATGGACCGACGAACACGGGATCACTCGTTTCACAAGCGGGGTGAGAAGTGCATGGCGACCCCGCACGAAGTCAACCGCAGAATGGATTCTGTTGTTTTAGTGGTCAGCATGCAAGGCCTACAGTTGTGCCAAAATAAATCGGACATTCTTTCACCTTCCCATCATTCTAAATGTGATACTTACCTTCTGTACTCAGCGATCTTCATTCTTAGCTGCTTGGCCAAGGCATCAGTGGACTTAATAAACGAAACCTACGAAGCTAAAATTGGTCCTTGAAACCTGTCATTACCGCGTAAACAGTGAGTCTACATGTATGTACCTCGCAACGTACGCGGCCGGCGCGGCGCGGCGTCAGCCTGTTTTTTTGGTTTTATGTGCGCCCTCTGTTGATCAGTGCCTCGTATAAAGTCTAAACACTCCACTCGTCTGTATTCGAATGTGTACTCGCCTCAAAGTCCTACAGAAGTGCAAACTATCCGTGTTGATATGCCAAGTAGCAGAGCTTGTAGGAATGAGTACTTGACTGTTATTTTAAAATCACTAGCAATTACATCCTTTTGGGGGGGAAGGTTTTAACGTTGGCAGGACTTTATCAGCGGTTATGGAGGTTGTCCGGAAATTGGGCTCGGTCTGTGACTTGACTTGGGTCCCGCGGCATGGAGTGGGTCAGGCCAGCGCGAAGGACCAGCGAAAATCAACCAACCAGCCCATCCCGTTAAAAGAATTAATTGAATATTGGGAAAGAGGTCCATATCCTTAAAATGTTACAATAGCCGTCAGACATGTCAGAAATTGGAAACATGTCCTAAAAAGTGAAATTTAGCAAAGAATATTCCGGATATTCTTAAGCACATGAACCATGATTTTAGGCCTAGGTAGGGCCTAGAGCTAGCCCCACTAGTGTGGCACGGACTCTCACTCCCGATGGATCGGGAGTGAGAGTCCGTGCCACACTAGTGGGGCTAGGCCTAGAGCTAGCGTCCCTCCATGGGCTTACTCAGCTCAGAAACACAACTTCAAAAGGTTTGTATAGACTTGGCCTAGGTTTCTGCTTAGGGCCATTATCAAGTGTTGTTCGTATATGGAACTCTTTCTGAATATTGTACTTAAAGTTGCCAACAAAAACAGACAACAGGTCCTGTAATATGCACTCATGCTGTGTCTCGACCTGCTCAAGATTGACCTTGAATTGAATTTTTTAAGGTTGGGTTGGCATGGTTTGGTAAAAAACCAACTGAAATCATTCACCAGATTTACCATCCTTGTGTAACAAGTACAGTATTGTATTTGTTATTTGCATTGCTGTCAAATGGTCAAACACATGAAGATATATAGCTTGTATTTTGTAAAGGAACAGTTTACACGATCAAGATTAAAGCTCTAAGCCTCTAGGTTGTTTAAGTTTCAAATTCTGCAAATTAAACAAGAAGTCAGAGATTTTTCAATGGAGTTTGATGTGCTCTGAAATGCAGGTGGTGTTAGGAAGGTATGTGTGGAATTGACTTATCGTTTGGACATAAATTGTTCATTTCTTTGTAACACGCAGGTTCACCTACAAGTTGATTCGAAATAGATAAGAGAGGAGGGATTTCACTTCTGTGAGTGTGAAGGAAGCAGATTCTATCGAACAAGAAAATCTTCCTACCATCGGCAGCCTGGACATTGTGTGGGGAGGTTAGTTGTGGCTTTGTTTTACTCAGGATTTGAGACCATTTTCAACAAATTACGGAAATGTTGCTGTATTATCACTAACCTCATCACACAGCAAATGAAAGCCTTCATCTTGAATCCTCCCTCTGTTAATGCCACATTCCCTTGCAATTTTGAGAAGCATCGAGCCCTGGGTAAACTAAAACACCGGTGGGGCTCTGCCTTCCCTAATAATGCAAACTTCCCAAATCCTTTTTGATTTATTTTGAAGGATGTCGGAAGGTTGGCTGTAATTTGTTCTCCCTGAGGCTGAAGTTTTAGCATGTAGGAATTACGAATTCAGGAAACGGACAAGTGCACGGGTATAGTGAGACATTACACATCAGTACTGCCCATCTTTGTAGGTCTTGTCAAGAAGCTGAAGTCTGGAAACATCTTATATTTCATTTCTTTCAGGATCTCTGCACAGGTAGTCAGGACACCAGTGGAGCATTAAATGTGACATCATTTGGCACTAAGGTGAGATGGTTTTGAGCGTGTCAGACAGGACAATATGTGTGTCAGCTGTCATGAATTTCTACTCTTGTGTAGATGCATCACTCGGTTTTAAGAAGCAGAGGGGACAAAGAAAACTTTTTCCAGCCTTCCTACCCATGAAAATGTTAGCCACTCCAAATCTGTTTGGTTTTAGCTAGGGTGTTGCGAAATATTGTGAGAAGCCGTTACTTTGGCTGAAGCTGAACATCTAGAAGTGTTATTCACATATTTATCGGTTCCATTCCTAGAACAGGTGCTGTCAACATATATGTATGATGCCCCCAAGAAATGGCAGATGGGTGGTACATGTGTAACCGTTATATTTACCTGCATGTAGTGCAGTAGCTGGCGCAATGTATCTGCCATTACTGGGGGCTTCCTGAGTGTAATGTGTGAGTATCTGCTCAGATTTGTGCATGTGTACATGGATTTCCAGTTCTGGATTCTGCATAGGAGGTCTCTTAAGCCTGGTTTCCATGTCAACGCAATCAAAACCTAAACTGCAACACAGACATATGGAAACATGCCGAATGGAAGTGCCGCCGACAATGCAAACAAACACAAACCAGCCCACAAACAATCAGCATAGTTGAGCCAGGTTCAACTTTGCCGACTGCCTGCGTTGAGTATCCCCATACAAACACGCATACATTCGTTCCACGAATATTGCCCATTTTCTCCTAAAGGCTTAGATATTACCCCCCTTATGAACAAGTAAATAGCTGACCGTCAATGAAATGCATGAAACTGGATTACCGGTTCGGCTTCATGAGGCGGTACGGTCAATCTACATGTACCTGTAAATGGGTATTATCTGAAAAAAAAATTCTGGAGTTTTGGACGCCGTTGTGTTTCCATGTTTGGGTGGAATGATGCCATGCACCATCTCTTCCGTTTGTGTCTGTGTCTTCACGTCTTACGGACCGTCTGTGTTACAATCGACTATATGGAAACCAGGCTTTATTCTCTTGGAGTCTGTGCATAGGTGATGCGTGGTGAAGACCGCCGGTGTACAATTGTAAGCAAACCATGGTATTTATTGGCAGTGTTGGCACATACATATGGTACCTGAGAAGGTATCCCTGTGTCGATTCACTGCACTCCGACACAGATGAGCATACAGGATAGTATGACATTTAGACCGTGACTGGGCCGGTGTTGTTATTCAACTGTTTTGACATTGGATTCTTGACGTATTACCTTGTCTAGCAATGGACATTATGGAAACTTCCTTACCTGATTCCGCACGTGATGAAGCTTGTAGAATGTGTCAGCAGTGGCCTGTGTGATTCATGGAAGAACATTTTGATTCAACTTTCTTTTGATTACTCAAATGCTAGATACTTGTGGAATATCAAGTACTTTGTGTGACAATTATGCATCCACTCTTAACATGTTCCCTCCTTTGTCAAAACTCTAGCGAAACAAGCTGTGCAACAGGATCACTTGGGAGGACATTTTCAGTCTGGGGAAAAAATCAAAGAATCTGTGGCATGGATGCTTGTGCGTGTGATCGGATTTGTCCTTGAAGTCTCTTGACTTGCAGGAACCAGACTGCCAGTCTTCCAGCACCGCTTCCAGTATGGAGGAGGTGAAAGCGATTCCGTTTTACCCGTCCACACAATTCGCTGACGTCCTTGACAACCCCAGGTCCTACTTTGGCTACGCATCCACGCCCGAGGAGGCTGAGGAGGTCATCCGTCAGTACAAAGCTCATACATCAACCAAGTATGTGTGCTACAAGGAGACACCAGGCTATGGCCATCCGCTTAAAGGTACATGCCTGATAACCAGAATCCAACCTTGTGCTTCATTTTGAGGTAAAAAATTTTTTAGTTTCAAACCAGTGAAACATTCACTGGAGATGAAATACACACACACTCGACATTTAAAATTTTGTCATTGCTAATTTTTTGGCTCAATTTAGACAATTCAGGTAAGCAGTCATGTTGGCACCTGTGTTCATTTACAATTTCAGACAAGCACTGGTCTAGAAAAATTTGTCTGACAGTGCCTGTTATGTAGTTTCATCTTCTTTACGACGAAACCGTTGTACTTCTGACAAACTCACATGATCACGCTTCTCTGCTAATCTACATGTATACTTATTTATTTCTACAGTAGCACTAGCAGATGTGATACAAAGCAAGTCAAAATCTCAAAGACCCTCTTCCTCTCTCTCTCCTCCTCTTTATATCCCATCTTATTCTCATCTCATTTCTAAGAAAATATCTGTGCACTTCCAGAAGGTTAGTGTGGTCAGTCCAGGATGTAGTGTGATCAGCCGTGACCACTTCCAGTCCCTTAGATTTCATTTTACGACTTCCTCATGAACCCAATTTCCTCCTTAATTAACCACGACCTCCCCCTACATACTTGTGGTTCCTTATTCCGAACTTCTTCATGACGGTATCATCGGTGGGTTTTCTTTCAGAGGCCCTAAAGACACATAGACGCACCATCAGGTATAAAGACCAAACCACCCACGGGGAGAACACCACGCCCCTCCCTCTCAACGGCACCCCTTTCATCATACTGGGTCGGAGGTGGGAGCAGTGCCAGTATGGACCGGATCGTAGGAAGGTGACCGGCAGAGATATACATGCATATGCAAATACGACCTGTTCTGACAGCGTGGGCGGAACAATATTCAAAGTGTGGGGTAGTTGTGGGACCGTCAGGCATCAATCATTAATAGACCGATCCATTAAGCTCCGCCCCATTATAGGACCTGCCTAAAGTGATGGGGGGGGAACAAGTCCTCGTGTGAAGAAAGAGGGCCTGCTTCCCCTGTCCCACCCTTCTGCCGCCAGTATGTATTTATGTTAAAAGTAGACAAAAATTGAAAACTTTGCTTTTTTTTTTTTTTCAAACTGTGATGTAGATAAAAACTGATTCAATTTTCTTTGTATTTTGTGGCCTCCCCCATTAATTTGGTTGTAACCATGTTTGTGAAGCAGATTTTTGGACAGAGAAAACACAGCATTTTTAAAATTTTTGTTTTAAAAGACCATTATTTTGGCTCAGTGTAGTCACCAACCTGTCAGTCATGGAAAGTATTTAAATTCACAAAGGATATATATAGCTCATGAAATATTCATGTTACTTGCATTCTGAATGTAAGAATATTCAAATTCAATTACGCTTCTTCTCTAAAGATGGAATCATTAAAAATATTGTCTTCTTTTTGTCTTTTCTAACAAACTTCAAACCAGCCTAGGGAGCGTCCTCCAAAGCGCTTGAGAAAGTCCAAAAAGATGGGATGTCCCTCGCAAATAATCCTGAGAGACTTGTTTGTTTTCCCACAGTTCAAGGTAGGGCATATCACCATTGGAAAAACTCTCTGAGGTCTGTGGATTAAAAGCATAAAGGTGTAAAGACTAGTCCAGTCGAGATGTTGACGCATTGAAATTTGACGAAATTGGTAGAAAGTTCCAAAGTGGTGGAAATTTGTGTAATTAACCACTTGCTGCTGGGGAGCCCAGTTTTGGGCACATAGGCTTTATACATAAAACTGGGGAGCCCGAAACCAGACAAAAGAGCTGGGCTTTGTACAAAAGACCGTACTTGGAACAAAGGACTGAGCTGCTGGGAATTGCCAACATTTTTATAGTTGTCAATAGCAGAGGAAATCTTTCATTGTTTTGAAAGATTATACCACCGTTTGTGGCATTCAGCGCGAGTGGATTACCACCGGGGACAAAAGCACTCCAGCACTCTAGTGGTGGGTGATGCGATACCGCTGCATGGTAATCTGACCCCTATTGAAAAGACGTCAGCAGCGCACTATGCCAGTTTCGGGAACATAAAGAAAATTACATAACATTGCACAATCATGGCTCTTTTCACAAGGCGACAGGCCTGGCTGAAATACTCGCGCGTCAATAAATGTTGTCTGTCAGATTGGGGTAGCCACCAGAGGATCATTTGTGTGGGTGTAGACGTCCAGCAAATGAAGTTATGATTTTTCGAAGAATATTAAAAGTGGAAAATCTTGAAAATCCCCCTTTTTATGTCAAATTCAACTTCGAATTCCACCCGGCAGCAAGTGGTTAACCTTGTTAGCCTGTTTAAAAAACATCATCTGTTGTTGTACATCTGTTAGCATCAACATCAACTTTGCCTAAAATGGGAGCTGTTTTACATATTCTTCTAACTTTTAAAATGTCCCTCTCCTCGCTGGTCTGATAAGAAAGAGATGGATTATTTTCCACACAGGTTCCACTTGATTCAAGGCTCAAGAGAGCCGCCAAATTGGTGTCAGCCAAGATCAAATCACAGTTGGACTCTGGGAATGTAGAAGGCGAGAGACGGGTGTACATTGACCTGCCAGATCCTTTGGGACACGTCGGCCATGTTTTGGGACAGGAGGTATTGCATGCTGTCACGGGGGGGGGTCGTTCACACAGCGTGCCTCTCTGATCATGTTATACTGATGATTTTGACGCATTGGAACTTCATGGTCATGTGTGCACGTGTGTATCTATGTGTGTTATGCAACCGTTGCCAGGACTGATGCACAGAATGGAGCTTTAGGGAGAATGATTGCATGCATCCCTGGCAGTTACTACACTGGTTGGGGATATACAAATGCAGCATGGTTTGAGGGGAAGTAGTCGATTTGGTCATGAATATTTATGAGGTGTAGTAAATAGACTTTTCATGCTAGAAGTAACTGTCTGGCTTATGAAAACAAACAGATTTGGAGTGGCCTTTTGGTTATCTTTTAGGGTCCAGATAAAAATATTTTAACCGGGACTACATTTTTGTCGAGCTGTTTGTTCAACACAATTTTTCTGTGAAGAATGCACAGTTGTAGCTTCATGTTACTTAGATATCTTGATATATTTATGTCTGATGTATCCTTTAAATATTTCTGCGAGATGTTTCTTAGCTTCATTGCGTCCATGCACAAAACAGAGGCCATTTTGCTATCATCACTCGATCTTTCATAAGGGAAGTTTTTGACTTTTGCTGTAGATAGAAATTCTATCGCAACGAAAGAAGAGGAAGTTACTCGCCGAGGAAAGAGTGAGTCCACTGCTGTTATTTCACCGGGCAGAATGTGTTGCATTTCATGAATTCAAATTCAGATGCAGAAGTTTCTTGAAAAACAGAAAAGCATGTGGAAGTTGACACCATGCAGATTCGACAAATGGACGGTTGATTGAATCGGCATGTGTTTTCTGCCTGCTTTGTTGCTTTCCGCAGGCCATGATGGATCTGACATTTTTGGGCACAGCTTCCTGCTTCCCGACACCCAAGAGAGGGGTTTCTTCAACAGTCTTCAGACATGGTAGGCTACCGGGGAAACATGTTATGTTATGCAGGCCGTGCAAAAGGGTTAAACTATTCACGACACCATTTTGAGGCCAATTTTACAACAATCAGATTTGGGGTTATGAAAATCCATATTTTCATCATCCTGAGATCAGGGGATACAGTCGGTCAGTACATGAATTGTCATTTGAGAGTGAAGTTCAAAATATGTGCTGCCATTTTAATGTGGTTATCGTAAACCTAGCAAGTTAAGGAGTTAAAAGCAACTTTTACACCGAATCCTCATTTTGTTGGAGCAGGTTGTAAACGAAACAGCATTTGGTGTGGTCATGGGTTTGGGTTCTAAAAACGATGCACTTCACTTCTGGATGTAATGCATTGGCAGATACGTGTTGATGGAGAAAAATGTAATAACTCCTCAAAAATTCTGCCTTTCAAAAAAAATAAATAAATAAATAAAATAAGGTTTCAATTCAGCCATAGTGTCTTGGGATTGGACTCAGAATCAACCTGTATACTGTAAATCCAGGCTTCAGAGTTGGCAATAACAATATAAACTAGGGACTCTATTTACACAAACAGTTGTGCATTACTACAGGATGGTACCATTCAATTGCAGCTCACAGCTATCAACTGCTTCAATCTTAATATCGCAGCATCTTTGCCGTTTCTGAAGCCTCCACTGTCCGCCCCTGTTGAGAATTCATAATCTGATAGATTCGTTAAAGATCGGGGAATGTTTGGATTAACAACTCCATTTGAACTTCATCTGTCCCCCAGATGGTGAATGTTGGATGTTTGATTGTGGGGAGGGGACCCAGATCCAAATCATGAAGAGCAAACTCAAAGCCAGCCGCATCACCAAAATTTTCATCACCCATCTCCATGGTGACCACCTCTTCGGCCTGCCGGGCTTGCTATGCACCATGAGCCAGGACTCCAGCATCAAGAGGATTGAGTTATACGGCCCGTGGGGCTTACGCAAATACCTGCGAGTGTCTCTGGAACTATCGCGGTCGATGTTTGACTTCACCTACGTAGTACATGAGCTGATTCCATCAGCGGATGACTTGCCATCGGACTGGGAGGTAGATTGTGGATTGATATTTCAGTGGCAAATAGACAGGTTCCAGATTTATCGAAGCTGCTTAACCTCAAGTTAGTTTTTTTAATGCAGCGGTTGCTGAGATAAAACTTGATGGTGGTGTAGGGTTGAAAAAAGACGTACATCCCACCTCAATGTTTAAGTAAGTTTTGAGAATTTAAACCTTACATGAAATTGGTTTCATTCGAATGTGTGAATCGACTGATGCTATGTTGTGCGGAATGTTAATCATTAAAATTAATAATTAAAGTCAGAAACCAAAACTCAAATCCAGAAAAAAGGAGGATTAGACTGTATTACCTTGGCCCATTTTTTGGAGCTCAAATCTATCATTTTTTTTTACTTGCTGCAGGAGTGGCACCCAGACCACGAAGCTGATCAACAATGTCACCCCCAAGAAGAAATGGGCCGGTCCATAGAGATGGACCCAGAACAAGGATGCTGGCCTCTGTAGGTATCATGAACTTTGACCCAGGAAAGTCCTTGCATATTTGGTAGTCAATGCCCAATTGTTACAAACCTAACTTAAATTTAACTTTACTTGATTTCCTCTCAAAGCAAAATAATACAAAAATAACTTACAAAGATGGAAGATTTAATTATTGTTTTAATGATAAGAAGTACCGTACATAAACCAACCATGATGCAAGTGAATGAACACAGGAAGCAGTGAGATGGATACCTACAAGAAGCAAAGCTTGTCAAGTGCATGTCTCCTCAGTGATAAATTGGGTCAATCTCATAAGGTTGCTAAGCTCAGGATTTCTTGCTAACAGATCCCTTATCCATTTCATAGACACCACAAGCATTAAGCAAATGAAAGAGGTCACTAACTTCAGCAGCAAAATTTGCTTAAAATCGCAACCTAACAATAGAAGTCTCCATAAATGTGCAAGCGTTAGCACGGTGTGACTGTGAAATAATGCTGAAGTTAGCAACGCTTTTCTGCTACAGAAAGGGCAACTTTTCTGCTCTGCATTAAGCGCCCTTACAAATTGGGTCCTCTTGGTGAAGGAGGTTGTAGATACGCCTGGTATATTTCAGGTCTATGATGAGTAACTGGATTCCTAGTACTCAATTGAAATCAACGAACACATGGCCCCTCTTTTTGGTTTATTAAAGAAACTGTCTTTGCAACTCTTACCGTGATTTCTCCGAAATCAAAGAAGAACTCTGAGAAGAACTGCCCATGAAAACGAAAAAATGACAGCATTTTCGAAAAAACGTTTGGTATAATTGATATCGTTGAGAAGGATTGTAGAGAGTTTCAGAAGATTGATAATGAATATGCCTAGTGACTTAGGATTAATGTTTTTTTAACTAGAAAGGTTTTGGATTTTCTATCTTCAGCTTTGAAGACAAGAAACTAGCCGTCAAGGCCGCCCCGCTAGTGCACCGCATCCCATGCTTTGGTTATGTCATTGAAGAGAAAACTCAAGTTGGAAAGTAAGTACTCAATCTCTTTTAAGCAGCGAGTTTTTTATAATATTGTACTATGTTTTTCATATACTGTGGAGAGAAATGAAATTATTATTAAAAACAAGAAAGGGGCTATTCTGGCAGAAAATGCGGAGTTGTGTTTGACGCTTTGTTAGATACACTAACAGTTACACACTTTGCACTGTGATAGTTTGAGAAGTTTGAAAGATGTTAGAGTCAGAGTGAGTGTGTTTTTTTTTTTCAACCGCACATAACACAGCGCCATATTATATTTCATGGACTCATGGTTTGTAACTTATATTTTCCAACCAGATTGAAAGCTGGGTATCTAAAGGAGAGAGGAATACCGCCGGGTCCCTTGTATGCCAAGATCAAATCAGGAGAGAACATTGTGTCACCCAGTGGTGAGATCATCACTCCAATTGAAGCCATTGGACCGTCAATACAAGGACGGAAAATAGGTGAGAAAAGGACCCTGACCCAGATTGCGATAGTGGTAAGGTTGAACTTTGGGAGCTTTTCTGACGACAAACAAAGCACACTGTTCAAAGCGTCGGGTTGAATCAAGTGCTTCTTTGGACCCTGACCCAGATTGCGATAGTTGTAATGTTGGACTTTGGGAGCTTTCCTGATGACAAACAAAGCACACTGTTCAAAGCGTTGGGTTGAATCAACTGCTTCGTTGGACCCTGACCCAGATTGAGATAGTGGTAAGGTTGGACTTTGGGAGCTTTCCTGATGACAAACTCCATGCTGTGAATGAGTTCTCCACTCTTTGAATGAGTTCTCCACAGAGCAGTGAAAACGTGCGTGAATGCGACGTGTATTACCCATGTTGTGTTACAGAACTTCCGTTCGATTTCATTATATTTTGCTGATATTTGGTAACTGTTTGTCAGTGTTTTTGAAGACATTTTTCAAATTTCTTATTGCAATGTCACCTAAACCTGCTATTAGTGCTCCCATCCGAGATCGTTGTTTGTGGCAAAGCTTTTACATAGGTATGTTTAACTTTAAGTGTCTGTCGCTTTCTGAAGACAGGTACGGCGGCCAAGGAATATGGGCACGGCGACCTCTATGGCTGTAAACTAAATATGCTTTCGCAGGGCACCACAGCCATCTTAAAAAATAAAGCGTCAATGGCCCACGTGGCCGTTGTTTATTTCCAGCCCTGATAACTCATTCGAACTCAATATCATTTGCAGGGTATCATTTTATACGTCACCTGTATTTGTTATGTCATCAAGTCTAAACTGATGAACAAGACTTACAACTTTCTACTGCTTTGTGGATATTAGAAAGTGTTTATGAGGCTTGTCACCTGTCGTGATGGTTTTAGGGAAATAGTTTTCACCAAAAGAGAGTAAAGCTGCATGTTTTCTAAAGATGAAGAAAAGTTGAAGTCAGAAAACATTTTGAATGAGATTTGTTGGAGTTGAAATGTGTTGAACTTTTGCTAATTCGCACCGTGAATACTTACCCTGATGTCACAATTTCACATTTGTGCGTACTTTGATGCCAAGTATGAACGGGCCTTCAGGTAGTGGCCTGTAAGTAATCTTGACGTGATTCAGTGATCTACCTCTTCCACAGTCATTCTTGGAGACACAAAGGACTCCTCTCAGATCAGCAGGATAGCCTACGACGCTGACATCCTGGTACACGAGGCCACCTTAAACAATGAACTTGTGGAGAAATGCTTGGAGGCTGGCCATTCCACACCAGGTAGGACTGTGTAATGGACCCTCAATGTGTGCCCTAGAATTCATATATGGACCGGCAGTGAGGTCTCTAGTGCTCATCTATGTACCTGGAGGATCAGCTATTGACCTAGAATTCATATATGGACCGGCAGTGAGGTCTCTAGTGCTCATCTATGTACCTGGAGGATCAGCTATTGACCTAGAATTCATATATGGACCGGCAGTGAGGTCTCTAGTGCTCATCTATGTACCTGAAGGATCAGCTATTGACCAAAAGAGGGTCCTGTTTCTCCTGAGCCCAAGGATGGGCAAGTAGAACCCTTTTTTTGGTCACTCACAGGCCTGAGGGGAGCATAGACATGCACAAGTGACCGAAATATGTCAGCCCTTGTTTTTTGTAACACCACTGTCCAAAATATAAAATAGGAGAATTTTCTCAAGGTTTTATAATTGAAGGTGCTGTATAAACTTGTCAATAACTTGGGCAGTAAATTGAGCGTTACACTTCGGGAATTATGCACATGCAATGTAGCACAAGTCTGTAATGATGCTGATGCAAATTTCATGCTCCAGCCTAGATTAGAAAACCCCATGTGACTGTGTTTCAGCCAACCAGGCTAAAGAACCAACGAGGCGTCTTAGAAAGGGCACTATGTTAGTTTAGCAACTACATGTAGTGTACAGTAAAGAAATTCAGTGCATGTGAGATTAATGTTGATCTATGCATCAGGTAGTAGGTGCTAGGTTTGTTATCGCTGTCAACATGAGTCCACTTGTCTGCAGTCAGTACCGATCTCTTCTCATCTTGTTCAATCCTAGCTCTCTGTCTGTAGGGAACTATAAACTCAGGCATGCAAAGTTTCTTTAAATCACCTTATTTTCTCATTTTTATTTTCTGTGAGAGGCACAACAAACTTTCAAACATTCAGCAAAGTCTTAAGCAGCTTGGAATTTCTCTTTTTTTCTGACTTGGTAGTCTCATGCCTGATAGCTAACTGCTCTCTTGAAATTTGGATGAGATGTTTGGCTTCACCAATGGTTATTTTTCGTTCAAAATTTGATTTTTGTATAAAGTAGTGAACTACGTTTAGAGAAAAACCATCAGTGTCAAGAAATTCACTCCGTCAAAAATTCAAGTGGTCTCAAACTAACCAAATAAACCTTTTTCCGGGGGGGGGGCTGTGAAGTGAAGTCATGGAAAAGACACAGGTGTCAAGTTTCTTTCATCTTTTATGTCCCTTACCAGCCATGGCAGCTGAGTTTGCCAGGAGCATCAACGCCAAGAGCCTGGTCCTCTTCCACGTCAGTCAGCGCTTCAGGCCCCTAAACGAGACGGCTGAGGACGGGGAAGAAACGGTGGAACTCTTGCTGAGGCAGGCAACCGAGACCAATTACACTGGTCAGGTGGTCATCGCTGAAGACCTTGATACCATCACCATACACAGGAAGGTGGAAGTGTTGGCCACAGAGATGGACACAGAGGCCTCAATGAAAAGTTGATGTCATCTTCTTAGGAGAATGAACATGGACTTTTGTCTCTCGTTAGTTGGGTACGGGTGCAGGGAGAACATTGCCAATGACCTTAAGCTTGTTACCAGACTGTCCTTTTCCTAGTCCAACAATTACATTGCCAATCAGTTCATAGACTACTTCAAGGAGACTATTTGGCGGAGATGCAGTTGCTGTGGGTGTACCACGCTAGCACGTTCTGAAACATGAGGAGCACGTGCATTATTTTATGACAGGTCACAGCACCGGGCTGGTCAAAGAGACATGTAATGTGTGCGTATGATCTTCCCGCAGGCGTGGTAGCACCACAGTGCAGCGGGCGACTGACTCACAGAGAAACAATTCTATGAGATCTGGCACTTGCGGTTTGGTCTTTTGGTAAAGGTGTGGTAGCACTGCTTTAATGGCCTCTAATACCAGACAATGGATTAGCCTCTAACAGTGCAGCGGGCGACTGACTCACTGAGAAACAAGACTATGAGATCTGGCACTTGTGGTTTTGTCTTTTGGTAAAGCTGGACAGAAAAGCCATGCTGAAAATGCCCTAGCATTTACAAACGGACTTGGACAAAGACTTGCACTTCCATACCATCTCAGAGAAGCTGAACATTCCATACATAACTTTCTCCGGAAGCAGATGCCCACTGGCCTGTGTAATGTGTTAAAAACTGTTGAGTCAATTCAGCCATGATGTTCTCTCCCCTAGGACATTTTTTGCCTTTGAGTTTTATGTATATGATAGGACCACAAGTCTATTGGTGTTTCTATTCATATTCAGGTTTTATTTAATCAATCCGCAGTATTAAGCTGAATTACCTGGTTTTTGCATTCATACAAAATCACAAGTGGAAATTACAAATATGAAAATAAACAATAAGTATAATTTCAAAATTTCTTAAGATGACAAGAAAAGTAAAAATAACCACAAAAACCATTAAATTATTTGAAAAAAAGAAGAACACAAAACTGCACAAGAGTTCTGCACGGGCAGAATACTAGGGAGAGTTTGATCAAGGACCACTAGTAACTAGTGGTTGGTTTGTGACGTACCTAGTGCATGGGCAGTGAAGTTGAATTATGAACAACCCTAGTCAACCATATTTGGGTCGCTATGCCGAAGGGGGAGAAAAGGTGGTCGCAGGTTGGGCAAAGTAGCCAAAAAAATGGTAAAAATGGTGATTTATTAGTGACATACTGTTTTCTGGCATTTTTCTTATAACTGGTCCTCTCTGCACTGTGCTATTACAAACGGTTTATGGCAACCAGTGATATGACCAACCTCGGTAGGTTGGTTACGAATAGTTGACTAGACTTGTCCAACCATCGTCGACTAGCGTTTGTTCGATCAGAGTGAGTTGAACTATGGTCCTTGATCAAACCTGCCCCTAAATGAAGCTAGTGGATTCTTCCAACGCCAGATGGACCATTGCCCTCAAAATCTGTGTTACACGAGGGAATATTGAGGTCATGTTATCTGTGTTTTAGATTTCAGGAACCCCTTTCACTGATGCCAAGGATCACTAGAATCTCCAGTAGTTACATCACGGACCATTTACCCAGGGATGTGCAACCACGAGCGGCTCCAGTGCAAACACATGTGCGACCTTGGTTCCATGCGTGTTACAGATTGTTATTACCCCCGCAGGCGCTCTTGACTTTCTCAAAAAAACTTGCGACCACACGACACGGGTGCAGCATGCAGCATGTACAGTGCAGCCGTGGTTATGCCAAGACGACGCGCCGACACGGTTCTTAAATCTATTCGTTTCGACGAATAAATCTTCTTTGTTGATTTCAAGCAGAAACGAAGTTTTAATGAGGCAAAAGTCCCCAATTTTGTGGTAAACCTTTCTCAGAATGTATATGATGAAATATCTTGAGCAGCATATTTTTAGAAAGGGTGTACCCTGACTTAAAATATTACAAGAAAACAAAGTGGTAGACAGGAATATATGTTTTATTAGAGATAATCCAATTTAATTTCTGCTTTGATATTGTGCCGGCCGTAACACGCACTGAACCAGCTCTGAGCTTGCACTTCCCTGGGTAAATGGTCCGTGGTTACATGGAGTGTTTCAATGTTGCATCAAATGCTTATTGTTGGTTATTGTCGCATGTATAGTTATATCAGAGCTGTGGAGGTTTGCTGCATCTAGATTTTTGTAACTGATGAAGATGTCATAAAATGGGCCCTGGAGTTACCATCAAATTACCAGCAGGGTTGCCCTATACATTTGTTTCGCCGTTACTTGATTGCCCCGAAACTAGTTTGATGTATCACTCAGCATGTATAATGTAACCGGAGTGAGACCAGTGAAACTACAATGGTGGTTGGATTTCCATCGGGAGCAATTAGGTGGCTTTTTGTCACTGATCAGTGCCGTATATCATGGCACTGCTTAGCACGCGGGTTTACGGTAACAGAGGCTATGTGTATTTTATAAGAGGTACGTACAGCAGAGAGGCATGCCACTAAGTGATGCCGCCATGAAATAGTGTTTACGGTAAGCACAATTTTATGCTGTAGTAAGCACAACATTTCTGCTGCTAAGCAACGCCATGAAATTGGAACCAAGTCTGTAAAGGTTTTGGATACTTAGTGGCAAATACCAAAAAGGAAACAGGAAACCGTGCTAATATTGTTTGTATGCTTGTATTTTATACGTTTGAGTTTAAAAACTAAGTAAATTTCCAACTCGGGATATTTCCAGTTTCACTTTCAATGACTTTACGGTTCTCACTCCTGTGTACGTATTTTTTCTTGCATGTTACATGTAGTGAAGTGATGCTACATTTCAGGCCCATGTTGGAAATCAAGCAAACGTTGCGACACATCCAGGTACATACGTGTCTCTGTTACCAGAAAAGAGATGACGCAATACAGTGTAGAATTGATAATCATACAATGGGTGATTTATTTAACGCCACAGAAAGGGAAAGACGGAGTATTAATATTCTTTCACTTCTAGTGCAAATTTTCATAATGTAGCAGTAAAGAAAGAGACTGGGTTTTCTGTCCACGTTCCGTCTGTCCACAATAGATACATATCGCGATGCGTAAAGCAATGCATAATCAGTGCCACCTACACATTTTTTGAACTGGACAAATTTGTAAAAACCCAAGAGAAACAGGAAAGTGAACTTTTCATCCTGTTTTTTAATTTCATATCTTCACATGAAGCACAAGCACTGATGGACACAAGTATATATACACAATTCTAAAAATGTACAGTGTAAAAAGCATTCAAGCAGTCAACCTAAAAAAATAAAAGCAGCAACAATAAAACAGACTGGAAGAGACTAAATCACGTTTACCTTCTGTACCCCACTTTTTGAACACTGGCCATCTAGTGGTTTGTCATGTATGATCTCTGCGAATGATTTTGTTCCCGTTCCAGGCATTAATTCCAATTTGAAAGCAAAACTTTGCTGCAAATATGCATCCGAGAGCCAATCAGAAGTGAAATCATTCTGCTTACCACCAGACCCCTTCCTTTTTTTTTTTTTTTTGGAGGGAGGGTGGGGCCAGCATATTTTATTCTCACCAAAGCTGTCCAGTTACTTGATTACAGCCAAGAAATTGTGTTAGCCATAACCAAGTGATTTCTACATTCTGGACTCGGCAAACCACTGGTTCTTTTGATGCACGTGACTTTGTGAACAATGTAAAGTGTAAAGAGCCCTCAACCACCAAGGGCACAGCAGATGTGACCAGCAGACGAAACACAAAGGTACACACTTTCTGCAAAAAAACCACAGCAAGTCATTAACTGGTGTTAAATGCCATCAAGTTTGCAATTTTTTTTTTCACCTTTACAAGAAACAAACCGAAGCGACACTTCCATCGGCAAAATGCATGCAGCTTGAATGAATACCGAATACAGTACATACATTCATGAAACTACAACCTGCTAGGCTTTACAAGTACAGAATGCATCATATCAATTCATCAATACATTTTGACTAGTTACTTGTTCCTACGCCGAATCAATTATCAATGAGTATTGAAGTGTACACGTACAGGAGGAATGTTTTCAGAAGTTGTTTTATTTCAGGAAGTATAAAATGCCAACTTAAAAATAGGTGGGTTTTCAAACCGGCCCAGCGATCTGTACAGTGTCCCATCTGTTAACAATTTGCTTTGAAACAATAGAAGAAAAATTGGATTTGGAATATTTTTATATGCCAAAATAGAGGTAGAAACTTCTTTTTGATGAGTTTTTATCTGGGGCAAGAAAAGTTCATTTCATAGAAAGGTCGTATATCTCGGTCATTTTTTACAAAGTCTGGTTCCTATTAAAAAGTTCACTATCAAAAAAGACACTTCAGCTTCAGTCGGTACATTTTCCATGGAAATTCATAAACCTATATCATTTGGCAGAAATGACAATGACTGTCAGTGAGCAAAACTATATTTATCCTCTTATTGGTTATTGCTTTGTCTAAAGTTTAAATATGATGACATTCTGGTTTTTATCACCTAAATTTCGAATACACAATACACAGCAGATCCTTGGTACAACAGTTGTGTGATAAGCTGTAATTATCGCCCTAACTACATGCACCTGTTCTTGTCTTTTAGTTGTCCCTGATGATTCAAAATGATAAGTGATACACGAGCCAGCTGTTTTTACTGAGAATCTAAGCTTTAACAAACATGGACTGTATGTGTATCAATTTCACAAGAACTAATGTGGTTGCAGCAAAGGTACAACAGACACTTTCCAGTCTGTGTCACTCGATTTACAGGTACTATCATTCACCACAAAATGATCGCAAACCGCTCCAATTTTTGAAGCATGATAAGAAGACAAGAATAGAGCCTTGGTACCGGTACCTCCGAATGCAGAGACTGGCACTGGGTGTAGTCAAATGGGTGAGTAATTTAAAATATTCCAATTCCCTGAGGAAAGATGAAGAGAAATTATCAAAACATCTGTGGAACATGCATCCTTTGTTCAGTAACTTTTTTTTTTTACAAATCACAAATTGTATGGAATTTCAAGTAACAATACTTCTGCTACTTACAAGCACAACACATGATGCTTAGCCTACAGGGTAGCATCTTATAAATTCATAAATCGGTCGGTTGCACTTAGCGGTTCAACCAGGTATACATGCTCTGGCCACGCAAGCTTCAAAACCACAAATTCTGAAATTCGGTTGTTTCTCCTTGCACCAAGATGTAATTTTCAGCCATCTTCATGAAGGCATAAGTGCTTTCTACCCATTTGTGCATATTCCACTGCACTATATGGGGACACTGCTGTTTCTCCCACATCTTTACTTTATCTGAAGGCTGCCATTTTGCATTCCCATCACCCCGGATGAGATCCTGGCCGAACCGCTGATTCCACTCATGCTTACACAAAGTTTGAAATACCTACTTACAATATTATGGAAGCTTAATACACAGTAAAGCTGACTTTACACTACTTAATTTCTCTGAGGAAAAAAATCTTGCAAATTTTCGAAATTTTCATTTCTATTTTCAATCGATGTCAAAAATCAAATCCTTTGCCTTAAACCAGAAGGAAGAAGACACTGCTCTTTGTTAAAGTGCGGAAAACGAATGGTGCATTTCACACCTTAGGAGGAGATGAAAAAGGGATGCGAGTTTGAAAGGAGAGAAAATGTAGATTCTCAAGTACAAAATACCACCTCCATGGGACCATAGAGGAAGGACACAGAAGGAGGTTGAACTGCCCGGGCTGTAACATCTGGCCAATTACTGCTTTCTGGCATGGCTGGTATGTGCATAGCCAGAGCACAGCGAATGCTTGCTACACACCATCTGTTTCACAACCACGAAGTCCATTTGTACCTATGATTGCCCCCCCAATTTGTCGCTGGTAATCTACATCCTTAGAACTTTGTGCACTGAGGTATAGGAAATTGAATATTCATGCCTTTGTTGGTGCTTGGTACGATGTCATGACAACGTCAAATTTAATGCTTGCGCAGTTGCTTGCATTACGCCGTGTGCCCTAAATCTATTTGTGCAGTCTTTGCCCTTCATGAATTCTTTCTTCTAGAGTTATTTTGGGAATAAATAGCCCGGTTGTTTGCAAGATTTTCTGTTTTGTTTGAATCGTTTTTATTATGGCATTTGTACAAAAACATACTTTATGAGATTTCACGATCACTCCCTGTGATGAAATAGTGCATTTTGTTACTTATGAACTTAGCTTCCCGATAAAAGTCAACATTTTGTTGGCCAGTCTTAGCCAAATTTGTACCAAGACTTTGAACACTGATGTATTGGAGGGAGGAGAATAAAATTACAAACTTTGCATGGGTAATGGAACAGTGTATCAAAATATTAAAACTTTGTTTACGATGGCAAAAGTGGGTCTAATATCAGGGAGTTTTCTCTATTTCCTGGTCACAGCAATAATTTGTATTCAATTGCAAGCAAAAAACGACAAGTATTGCTAGGATATTACTGGCCCTGCTTGTCCGGCTAAGATGCAGGCGGTAATCAGGCAGTTTTGAAATGTTTTCTATTATTTGTCTGACTCGGCAGGGACCATCCTTGAACACTTTGAAATGCTAGAGTTGCAACTCCTTCTGTGTCCTTCCTCTATGGTGGGACAGTGAGCCAGGTACTCCCAGACACTTCATATAGAGTACCGAAGTGTGACGTCACTGTGAACCAGAAAGTGCAGTGCAAACGAATGGAGTACGCGCGCGTGTTGGTTCACGCGCTGGTTCTCACGCTAATGCCTTTTACACACTAATTATGCGGGTGACCTATTCACTGCGGTACTCTATTGTTGCTTATGTATGCCTGGCAGTCCCGCAATCACTTTACAGCCCAGCTGCTGCTGAGCACAATCTTTACCCACATTGCAATTCCAAAAAGTGATCACACATTCCCGTTGACAGTTTCTGCTAGGAATGCGTAATCACATCTCTTTAATCCTACTGTTAATCTAACGTTTCCTTAACATTTGGGCGACTCAGTCATTGTTATAGCAACAGTTGCACCAATTAGCTTTCTACAAAATGGATTTCTAAACACTGGCATTAAGCAATCAAGTCTGCAGGATGCAGCGTATTTCGTGTTTCATGCTAGAAGAAGGAAACATTCTTGTGTTTACTCGAAGGCAGAATAATCTGGAGGTACTCAACGGCCGACCAACGACAGTCCTTTACCAAAAGAAAGACCAGTGATTTCAGATACTGTATGTGATAGAGAGGCACTGTGTGGATGGCAATCGAGGTAAGGAAAACACCATGATAAAAGCCGGCCCGAAATATCACATGATCCCACCCTCTGTGATGAATTACAGCGGAGAGACATGTGACTGACTGACAAATATCATGATGCATTTACATCGCTTTAGTTCTGCTGGTAGGCCAGAATAGTATGCATGGATGTTTTCTTACAATCCTGACACATGGCTTTGTGTTTACTGAGATCACTTCAAGAGTGGCTGCAACTGATGTGATAAAATACTCAATTAGATGTGACAATCTGACATCAGTGCAACAAAACTACCTTTATGGGAGAAATCTTAACTCTGAACTTAGCCATCATGGTAAGTTTGGGTGTTGAGCGAATATTTAACAACTGAGTGTATATTAAATGAAAATTTTAGGTAACTCATCGTACCTACGAGATTTAATCAAAAGCATAAACCTTGAGGGGAGCACTTCACACCACATCTAAAAATGCAGCAAATTCAAAAATAACCAGCAAGAAAAACAGTTTAGTTTTTTCCGAATCTACATCCAAATGCCTCTAAAATTTGTCTATGCTGTCAACTTATTTCAACTCCTGTTTGCAAGCAACTGCCTCAGAGTGAGCTTCAACATCAAGAGCAAATCTACAACTTGATAGAAAGGCTAAAGTGCTGCCGTGATGTAAATCCACCGCTGCTAGCCCAACAGTTGAAAGTCGAAGGAGATCAATGACTGCTGAAATAAATCACTTCAGATTACTTGACAACCGTTCTGTATTCTTTGATAAAAGAGTCCATTCAGACTCTATATCATATGCTAGATCTACCAAAGCACACTGTACTAACCTCCTAGATAATGTGGGTAATTCTAGAAACTAGGGGTCCAAACGTGTGACATTTTTGTGTCCCTGTTACATCTGACCTTTGCTATTTGACATGGAAATATCACCAGAAGTGATTGCAAACTATTACTATTTGTTTGGCAGGTAATTTACATAAATTCATCACTCTTGGAAATAAGAAAATGTGTTCTGAACTTATAAGTTCATACATCAGATGTGACAGGGACACGAAAAAAATAGACCCCTAATTTCTGGAATTACCTGTCTATGTATTCTTGTTTTCATCAAACAGCTTTACAAATTCTTAGAGGAGACATCACTTGATCTGTTGAGCATTAAAACAATCGATGGGTTTGTCAAAGGAAATCACAGGTTAAGCCTATGACATCAGAAAGAGTGTGGCTTCACTCAACAAAGACTGCCTCCTGTGAATCCACCGATGTCCTAGACCCTCGAGATGACCGGGACTGTGACCCTCTAGGTGATCTGGGCTCCTTAGCTCCAGTGTCTGTCCTAGGTGAGGCTGCCTCCTTAAATGCCAGCTTTTCATCCACAATCTTGGGGAAGAATGGATGAGAAAAAAAGTATTCTGCAAAGTGTAGAATCAACATCTTACCTGCAACTGTAACAATAAGCCAAGAAGCCTTAACCACTTGCTGCCGGGGGATCCGTTTTCGAGCACGTAGGCTTTATACACGGAGTTGGGAGAACCCGAAATGAGACAAAGGGAAGTGGGCCTTGTAACAAAAGACCATACGCGGAACAAAAGACCAGGCTGCTGGGCATTACTGACATTTTTTCACTCTCAATAGTGGAGATAATCCAGCCTTGTTTTGAAACAGGATACTATGGTTTGGGGCATTTAGAGTGAGCGGATTACCACCGGGGACAAAAGCGCTCCACCACCGCAGCGATGAGCCACACAGCACTGCTGCATGCTAATCTGGCCCATATTGAAAAGAGGTCAGCAGTGCACTGAGCCAGGTTCGTGAACAAAAGAAAATTACGTAACACTGCACAAACTGGGCTCTCTTTACAAGGCTGCTGGCCTGGCTGAAATACTCAGACATCAATAGATTTTGTCTGTCAGACTAGAATGGCCACCAGACAGTAATTTGTGTGGGTGCAAACGTCCATTAATTGAAATGATGAATTTTTGAAGAATTTTGAAAACTGAAAATCTTGGAAAAGTCCCGACTACATTTTTCAACCCCCCCGGCAGCAAGTGGTTAAGGGTATAACCTAGAGTCATATGGGTACCCCACTTAGCTCTACAGCAGCTAGTCCAATGGATAGATTCCAGAGTCAAGTGGCTACACCACTGGGCTCTATAGTAGAGGAGTTACGCCGGTCAGTAGATCCAAGAATCAAATGCAAAACCACTGGGTTCTATGAGTAGACCAGCTAGCCTGATGGGCAGATCCTACAGTCAGATGCAAAAACCACTGGGCTCTACGAGCAGACCAGCTAGCCTGATGGGCAAATCCTACAGTCAAATGCAAAAACCACTGGGCTCTGTATGTACAGCAGCCAAGTAGACATAATTTTGGGCTCAACATCAATATCTCAGATTCAAATGGGCATATCACTTCGCTCAACAAAACAGCCCAATGAGGGCACCCTTGGGTCAAAGGGCACTGGACATGACTTCAATGCGTCCATCAATCATCTAAACTTCTTACAGACGTGTCCCACCTTAACATTTCCCCCTCCCGGCTTGTGGTCAATATTATCCTTCGAGCCAATCTTTGACGATGCCTTGGTGCCAAAGTCCACTTTCTCATTCACAATCTTGACATTACCGCCGCCAGCCTGGTGCTTGATGTTGTCCTTGGATCCAATCTTGGACTCTGCTTTGAATTCCACTTTCTCGTTGATGATCTGGGGGGAGAAGGGTTGGAGAGAGGAGAGAGACTTGGTTGATGTTGGTCAGTTGGCAGGCTCCATTGCACATGGCACTTCTGTGCACATTCAATTGAAAATGACTCAGACGCTGTGACCATCATTTGTTCACACACGGTTCTAACAGGCAGAAGGCAGGGTACAACTCCAACATTTTGCAAATGACTCCTAATCTGTCTAGCAGTCACTAGCCTATTTCAATACCAACTCTTAAGTTTCCCAAGAAAAATGGAAAAAGCCTTAAGAATCACTTGAATTATTTGCCAACTGCTTATAGCCCAATACTCATTAACCTTTACAGCATCCTGTGAAACATATGCATCTACACGTGTATGCAGAGCAGTAGCCAGGATTGGGATGGAAAGACTCAATGAAAAAATGCATGGGGACGATTGTATAGTCTCCAAAAATGCATGGGGACGATTGTATAGTCTCCAAAAATGCATGGGGACGATTGTATAGTCTCCGAAAATGCATGGGGACGATTGTATAGTCTCCAAAAATGCATGGGGACGATTGTACAGTCTCCAAAAATGCATGGGGACGATTGTATAGTCTCCAAAAATGCATGGGGACGATTGTATAGTCTCCAAAAATGCATGGGGACGATTGTATAGTCTCATCTCTTTTGGTGTTTAATACCGTACATCCTGCACAATACAAATCAACGGTGTCGTCAATGTTTTCATCACAAGAAGTCCAGATTCATTATTCTTATCCTAACTAAACAAGAATAATCTACCATTCGTAAACCTAACAAGTATTTGTTAAGTCATCATTCAAAGCAATTCCTGTGTTGATTTCAAACATGTGATACTCAAACAAAACCAAGCAGTTTCAAGACATTTTATTCTCAATTTTATGGCTCGTAATATAGAAGCCAAACCTTGCATAATGATAAGCCTAGGTTTTCTACAGCAGCACTAAATTGCGTAAATCTGTGTCTGGTACCCTACCTTTTTATTTCCACCCTGTGGTTGGTGCTTGATGTTGTCTTTGGAGCCAACTTTGGAGGCGGTTTTACTGAAGTCTAACTTTTTTGTCTCAATCTACGAGAAAAATGGAGAAAACACGCTTATGGCCTCAAAGATCAGCTGCAGGGCACTTTGTGCATAAATTATTGAAAATAAAGGCAATTGTTGGTTTATTTTCAGGAAAGGAAATAAAAAATGTAAAATTTCCAGTTCCTGAAAAATAAATGTTAGTATACATGAAAAACAGACAAAAATCAGACAATGTGCACAGCAATGCAAATATAATAAGGCGGCTCTCTACCCCAGAAGGGTTATATTAGTACAGAAATAATCATTCAAGATGTGGAACATATTTCACTGATTTGCACTGTGACAGTAAAACTGAATATCTCTTTATTTCAAGGCTCAGTCCAAGTAATTTCAAACTGAATCGACTGACTAGTACATATGTTGCCTGTAAGTAAACACTTGTCATCTGCAAAATGTTAGAAGGATGTCCATTACATCGTCACTGTTTTCACAAAAAGCCACACGTCAAGAGTAGCATTTTTATTTTGAAAACTGATTTCATTCATATTGTTAGGGGCCAAAATTTTGGCAAGTTCAGTTTGCGTTTTCACAAAGAGATACAAATCTTACTGCCCCTTGCACTAGCACAAAACATATTGACTGGAAAGGCCTAAAAGTAAGTCAAGATAGATTTTCGTTTTCACAAAGAGCCACACATCGTTGTTACAATGTAACAGTTCCATGGCCAAAAAGTATTAAACATGGATCAGACTCACATCTTTACTGATTGATTTCGGCTAATGAACCACTGTGTTCATTTTAATTATTTGAGTTCAGGCAAAAGTTTACCTCTCAAAGAATCATTTAATGTTTTGACTGAGAAGCTTCTCAGGCAATTTTTTGGAAAACCAGTTTTTCTTCAAAATCTACAAGTGTGGCTCTTTGTGAAAATGGTGATGACATGTAAATGAGTTTTTTTTTCAGGCATGGATTATATTTGGCTTCAAACAGACAATTTGGTTAAACAAGACACTCTAATAAACCCTTCAACAAAGTAAATTTAGGGAATATGTTTCTGCCATCAATATTTAGTACTTAGAACAAGAGATATTTCAACCCCAAAATTTCTAACTCAATTCAAAGAAACATATATACCACAATTACGCAGGTTTATCAAGACTCATCACTCATCACTACAGGCTCAACGGAGGCCTACAGGATTACTTGTATTACAAGTTTCTTTACCATTTTCAGGAAAAATGTCACTCAAGGGCGTATCCAGATCCACATTTTGGGGGTGAGGGGACAATTTCGTTCTTTTGGGGACAAAACAAAATTGGAAATTTGATTATATAACCTTTTACAGCCTTTCAGAGAAGTGTTTTTACATGTAAACACTAAGGCCTTTTACACATTTTTTGGAAGTGTGGGAAATGATATACAGTCTCCAAAAATTGCCTTTCTCACTGTTTATCAAACACAAAACACTTTGTTCCTTTTGGAAGGGGCTATGGCCTTGTTGCCCTCCCCCCTATCTGCATACGACCTCGATTCAAAATCCAGCACAGAACATTGAAAAAAAAAAAAACTGTGAAAAATGACCATATATTGGGAGGAAGGTTCCCAAACTCGGCAATAGAGTTACCTCCAATACTGGTAATATGTATAGCCACACTGTACTCTACTGTTTTACATTATTCAGAGCATATAACAATCCACGCTTAGTTCTTTGAGGCAAATTCGTTGGATAGGAAACCTATGATGCCTAGTGGGTATCTCTGAACATGGGTCTTGAGCACTTATTGTTTATCTTATTTCCTATGATTTGATAACGGATGAATGCGGGATTGTGATTGCCAATATCTGTGGCTCAAAACTTCAGACTTATTAGGCTAGGTTGGGTCACAAAGGCCAACAATCCAATAAAATTTGTAGCCGACTCAGTTTAGTAGGTAATTAGTTTCGATGTAATGCCAAGTGATCCTGTAACTCTGTTGGGATGAAATAAAATCAGTCACACAGCAAAACCTGTTACGATTCAACCAAAACGGACTTTGATTAATAGGGCAAAAGAGTAGTTGTCGGGTTTCCATGGTGACACTGCACAGCAAACGTCAATTCCATCCCGCCAATGGGGCGATACCTTGACAGTTCCTCCCCCTGGGCTGTGGCGGACGTTGTCAAAGGAACCCACTTTGCTCTTGGCTCGCTTTTCAAAATCCAGCTTCTCAGAGACGAGCTAGAAAGGGATTTCAAAGATCAGGCGGGGATCGAAAACAAGGATTAGCTGGGAGAAGGAAACTTGCCCGATGAGTAAGTTCAGACATTGGAATGACAGAAAAGAAGAGAGTTTGTAAATCTCATTCTAAAAAAAAAAGAGAGAAACAGGGAAACAAAAGGTGCAACGCATCATGAAACTGTAGTGTGCAGTATATCAAGCATCATTAATACAGATTATTAACAATACATTTTCTTGCTTTGCTGATAGTTGACCATAGAGCAATTATCTTGGCAATTCATAGCTGTATGATTCAGCTCTCACTTCCCAACAGGCTTTTCACTGACGCCCAAATGCCGAAGTGATTTGACGAGTACAGCAGAAGAGCAGAAGCAGATGATAATGTAATGAAATACTTGCTCAAACATTTTGAGGGAAAAAAGGAAAAACTTCTGACAGTACAAAATCTGGTTTATACTAAAAGGGGATATTCTTTTCCATAGCCATGAACGGAATGTGTCCGCACGTCTAAATTCTTGCCTTGCACAGGAAGTGAGAAATCTGAACCAGCTTCACTTTCAAGTACTCTTGTAAGTCTTGATACCCATGCACGTTTGTAACATTCATCTCACGATGAGCAATCTTCTATACATGCACAGAAGCACAGCCAGAACAATGAATTAGAATAGTTGTTTCTTGAGTACAGAAACCAGACAAAATCATCCAATCTTGATGTGCATGTGTGAGCAGTCAGACCACCACACTAACTCATTGGATATGAGTGTTTCATCAGCTGACTCCAGGAATCAGCTGTGAGGTGTATGACTCAATTGCACAAAAGTGGGGGGCTTGCAGATTTGACTACTTCCGCTATGTGTACTTCAGGATGCTTGTTGCGTGTTTTGTAAGCAATTGAAAATTACTCCATAAGTAGAGCTTCTGCGAGGCAGCTGCTTCAGTTCCACTGGGATATGCACAAAAGTCTACAACTTCATATCCATGTGAGTCAAAAAACGGCGCTACAAGACAGCTGTCATGCAAAAGCTTTTTTGTACAGAAGTACAGTTTGGTGGACAGTGTACACACACTCGAATTTCTTTAAAGACAGACAACACTGACTTAGGCACAGACTAAAACCTTACGCTGTCAGCAATGAGAGATTAGATGGGGGCATGGTTGGTAATCAGTCAACAATTTTTTAAAATCTTATATCATGAACTTAAGTTGGGTATAAGTTGCAAACATGGTCCGTTTAGCCTGCGGTTTGTGCAACTTCTGAAGGTTCTTGTCATTACTGCAGACTGGTTACATCCTTCACATTAAAGACAAAGTTTCATGTATACATCCCACTTAATGGGAAAAAAGAATATACAGAGTGAAGGAAACAAAGGGAGAGAACGAGAAATCGGCAAAGTGAGAGAGAGAGAGATTACGGGCCATTGAAAATCATCAGTGCTTCTCAGTCTGGATTTTATTCTCAAAACGTGGGTCAGAAGATGTAAAAAAAATAACTTAAAACCGAAATCAACTTGCCATTTGAAATATGTATGCGTTTGGTTTGTGTTGAAGGGCAAGTGAATTTTTTTGATAAAAAAAAAAATTGACGTAAAGAAAAAATTATATTTTGAACAGTCTCTTCTAAAAGGATCCATATAAAGAGAATCAAATATTTAAAAATCCATCTATATTCTTAACAATACAGGCATTTCAATGAACTAAATTTATACATCCACTCCAAACATTAATAATGCAGATTAAAAGGCAACAAATCAACACAAATGTATAAAAGGTAATGAACAAAAGCTGCGTGTCAGTCACAAGTAAAGTGAAATTCTAAGTTTTCTGGATTAAGTTAGAAAAAGCTCTCTCATTCTTTGGGACTCCGTGCACAGGGGTGTGTTAAAAAGTTAATGCAACGTTTCTGAAGCAAGTAAAATATGAATAACAAAGGAGCTTATACATTCTTCAGCAGAGGCAGAAATTCAATGGAAGAAATAGGGAGAGAAAGCCTGACAACTGAAGGTCTCTATTAGTTGGCTTTATGAGGTGTCTATTAAGGCACTGGAAATGTATTGCAGTTGGTGTTAGAGTCAGAGGGTGTGTATAAACCAATGGGATCAGTTCAGTTTAGCACTAAATGTAGTTAGCGCCCTCAAATGACAACCACAGAGCAAATAATAATGTCCTTTCGGAAGCATTTACTTGTCTAATTGCTATCATAGTACTGCATTCCTAATTGGGTCATATTCATTGTTCAAATGTGACCAGACTCCATGCAATTAACATATAAATCTTGAAGTTTTCCCCTGCAATTTTGGTCTCATTTTCTACCGAGCAAACTGAACTCATTAGCATCATGAATCATTTTGATACCAATGCCAGTCAGCCATCAAGATGAAAATGGACATGAAGTGGATGAGAGATGTTGAGTTCTCCTACACTGTGGAAGAAATTTTAAAGGTCTATCTCAAAAGTGGCCTATGTGACTTACAACTAATTGAACGTATTCCGTTCGGTCGGCTCGCATTTTTTCAAGTCTAAAATTACCACAACTGAAACGTGCATGGAGCAATCATAAACACATCAGCAAGTACAAATTAATTGTCCATTCTGCACAGCAGATGATAGGGACAGGTATCTACTACGTCTAACAAGCAATGTCTCCATGAAGCATTATATTTTAGGCATGGTATGGCAATCAAACAGAAATGAAAATTTATCTCCAATGAAAAATAAGGAAGAGAAATGACAACATCGTTGTGCAAACTAACAGACTGCATCCTCTCTGAGGTTTTTTTGTTTCTAGTGTAAATTAAATCATCCCTATATTCACTTCTCCTCATACATGCGCATTTCAATATGCACCTAAACACTTTTTGGGTCAACGCTATTGCGATTTAAGTAATAAAGGGTGCCATCATGCGAACCTGCCATGAACCGACTTACATGTAGCAACCCCGGGAAATGGAAAGTGCGGGGCTGGCTAAGGATGGTGAGCAACAAATTTTCTGTTCTAAAACCCAGATCTATGATTACTGTTAATGGTAAACCCTATGATTATTCTCATTGTTAATTACTAGTTATTGTTTGAACTGTTATGAATCCATTAGTGTTGTAACTTTCAGTGTTTGGGCTGAACGAAATAAGTCACGCCACACGAGGTGTCGAAAATAGGCACCCTTCAAATCAAACATGTCCCGTGTCGCATGTAGGTCTATACCTTTGCGCATGTATGACGCTCATGGCGTATTCCTGTGCCTACAAGTTCAATGATTTAGAAAGCTGGATAGTTTCCCCTCTGTTAATGGTTATCAATACCCTTGTATTTTCTAAAACGATCTTCTATGGTCAGAGATCACCCATTGATCACCGATTGCAATTCTCTTGATGCTTACCGATCCCCATATCAGTCTCTCCACCAGCCCATTTCATTTATCAAGATTAATAAACCCCCCTGTTGTGCCAATGCTCTCCCAACACACAACCAAAGGACTCCCCGTGTCCTCATTTCTCTTTAACAACCCCTCACTTCTTTCAAGAGAATCTGCATACATTACATTCATGAGGAGGCACAGTCACATCAACCAGGTCAACTGCACAGGTGTTTTTCTGGTGAGAGGGTACACGCGGGTCTACACAATTTCTCCACTTGTCCAGAACCCTCTATGCGTTACATATGTATTAGGCCAAATGATGACAACCAGCGGTGATAGGCGCAATGATTCAACTACGTGTGACGGTATTGAAACAAATGCAACCGTGTGAGTGTGACAAGTTCACAGAGTAATCCTTTGGTAAGGTTGAACTGTCTCAAACCTGCAAGAGCACAGCATCAGCTGGCTGACTTGGGCAACAAACAATCTTCCTCTTTGTGACAAATGTCAACCATTTTAAAAAAAAAGAAAAAAAATGAAAAATTTCCTGTCCTTACTTTTTTTTTTATATTGGAAGTTTTGTTCTTCACTGATGAATATTTATAACATGTTCTCGGTCTTGTCAAACGGCTTGTGAAAAAAATGTACAAGCTCACTCGCACAAGACTGGAACCTATGATCTCTTGTTTAACGGAACAAATATACGGTCTTACAGATCTTTTGGAATCTTTATGCATTCTGAACATTGGCGTCGTCTGAAAGCTGATAACAGTCAACTCTTTGAAAACCATGACAGTGAATCTTCAGGTGACAAAATCATCCATACAAGCAAATACATCGAGGATGGAAAACAATATTAGTGTTTCTGTGTACAGTAACCTGTGAGAATTTCAGATTGTTAAGTGTGGAATGCGAGTTTTGGATGTTCAGGGGAAACTTGTTCCCAATTGCAAGGGGAATCTTGTGGCACTTTTTGATCTATAAAGGAGTTAGTAGATGTATATGTGCTTGGAAAAGTTCAAGGTAATAATCAGAAAACAGCATGTATTTGGGTTTTTTTTGGGGGGGAGGTGTCAAAGTGCATGAGTGTGACTGTAACGTCTTTGAATTCAAACATTTACATGTAATCCTTGCAACCAGAATGATTCACGTAAGCACAAGAGCAAAGTTCTGTTCAACAACAAAGCTGGATAAAAATCACAATCCTACGGATATTTAGACCTAACGCAACAGTGCAATGGAAGACAGTGTATTGAGAAGCGCTCCTACATCACAATATCAGCAGGGACAAAACATGAGTACTGAACAACTCGGAATAGCTTGGTGGAACCTCTGCATTATTCTAGAATATGTACCCATGGCAGTCACTCATCTACACATGCTCAGATGTCAAAGGTCATGCTCACGTCATGGGTCATCCAGTACAGCAGAAAAATATCTTTAAATCAATGCCTTTCTTTAGTAGAATCGCAACTGTTTACTGAGTAAGACTTACTTGTAAAACAATTTGATACTTGTATCAAATGTGAAAGTGTTGCATAAAAAAAACTGCATCTTCAAAAATTTAAGTGCCAACTAACAAAAAAAAACATAATTCTTTGCTGTTGACTCACTCTTGACTTGTAATTTTTCAGCTGTCTGATCTGCCACAGATCTGATTTCATGAAACTGTAAAATGACTCATCTCATGAAACATTTCTTTTCTGTTTTCTGGCAAGGTCAAAATAGATTGTCCCCAAATTCAAACTTCATTAAAAAATGATCAATAAAAAAATTACAGTAAATGATATTGATATGCTGCACGATTGTGACTGGATGAGCCTCTGACCCTTGACCTATACTTATTTAAATCTGACCTTGACTTGACCCCCAGCAGGGGTGTGACTAGCTTTCTCCAAGGATCCCACTTTGCTCTGGACTTTGGAGGTGAAAAGTCCACCTTCTGGTCCAGAATCTGGGGGAACAACAGGGGGTAGAGTTTAACCCCTGATCTCGATGGGTTTATGGACAGCCAATTGTTACAGAGAGTCAAAAGGTACATGTACACTGCAATCCCAAATAGATATTCCTGGGTATAGCAGCAAAGGATAATTTGCTTGATCTCTGCAAAGGAAAAATCAAATCCTCATTATCTGGTATGACTAAACTTTTTGTACATTGTTCAACGCTTATATAATACCATGTAGTTACTCTTTTCAAATTACTATTAAAAGTGATCCTCACAAAAAAATTACGATTGATGGTGGTGACTGATCCTTAAAGCAGGGAAATTAGGGGAATTCACGCATTGTCATATATGTTACATATTTTGTCCGCTCGGGCTCACCATACATTTGATAGAGTGGTACCATTTTGTAGTGTCGTGGAGAGGCTACATTAAACCTACAATGAAATTTCACAGAAATCCTGCCTGTGGATTTAAATACAGAAGACATTGAGTTTTGCCATAGACATAAGGATACTGGCAGTAAACTTCATTCACTGTTCCTTCACTTGCTGGTTTGACTTTGCAGAATTAAAATAGAGAGAAGTTTTCATCTATTCCATCTGTATGAGAATGAGAGGATATAAAAATTGCCATCATGGGATTTGATACACATGTACAAGTATGCGGAGTATGTAACTCATTGCTGTGATCATGACTATGACAGCATGTTGTGTTCTTGGGTAAGTCACTTTACTCCTTTGTACCTCTCTCCACCCAGGAGTGAATGGGTACCTGTGAGGGCAGACACGGTTATCCGTTTGCGCAGAAATGGCTGCATCGGACTCGTATACTCCCCAGGGAGCTGAGATGGTTTCAGGAATGTTCAGATGATGTGAGCCCAATGTGCAGGGATAACGATAATACAGTGCCTCAGAATGGTTTACGAGATACATGTAGATGGCGCTTGACAAGTGTTTGTTATTTTTGTATTATTATTATCATTGCTGAGCTATCCCATCACCACCAAAGAAGAGATTGGTTGTTAGAAATTGTTTTATCTGGAGACTGGTGAAAATTGTGGGGACTGTGGAATGCAAAAGAAATTACATCCCTCACCACACCTGCATAAGCCTGTGAACGCATGCGAGGGTCCCTCACCACACCTGCAGAAGCCAGTGAGTGCATGCGAGGGTCCCTCACCACACCTGCAGAAGCCAGTGAGTGCATGGAGGGTCCCTCACCACACCTGCATAAGCCAGTGAGTGCATGCGAGGGTCCCTCACCACACCTGCAGAAGCCTGTAAGCATATGCGAGGGTCCCTCACCACACCTGCATAAGCCTGTGAACGCATACGAGGGTCCCTCACCACACCTGCAGAAGCCTGTGAACGCATGGGAGGGTCCCTCACCACACCTGCATAATTAGACTTCAAATACTTGTCCATGCATAGGGTCATATTGGCAGCATTCATCAATTTCACTTTTCAAAGAAATTACATAGATTTTTACTGTGTGCCTGCTGATAAGTATTTCCAACTATATGTACATGTACAAAGTGGAGAAGTACACTATAATGTCCATGTCCGTGTCCATGGACATTATCATTGTCATTGTCCTATGGACAATGACATGTTATCACAATGATGATTGCAACATCACTCCAACCTTCAGTCCAGCCTGCAAAGGTCAGTCTTGTACTCGTATGTGATGGTAATTTGGGCCGTTTCTCTTGTAATGCACACTCTTCCAATCTGCATGTTGAAAAATTTGACCCTGCAATTCTTCTGTTCCTAAGAAAAACCTGGTTACGATACTCCCCCTTGAAGAAAATAAAATTTGCCATTGAAAAAATGTCTGGCACCTGTCCTCTACTGTCAAGTAAATGGTACAAATAGACATGTCTGCAAGGTGCACCCATAGGGAGAAGCAGAGGATTTGCAGGTCCTGTATACACCTGTGATGTATAATTAGCCACAGAAGAGAAAAATAATACATGTATTCATGTATGTATATGCAAAGATTAATGTTGTATTTAATTATGATAATAATAATGGCCATTTATAAAGCGTGAAACATATCCACCACGTGTGAAGGTGCTCAAGGCGCTGTTATTACTATCCCTGCGCATGGGATTATGGCATACATGTAACTGTACATCCATGCATTTAATAGTATAAACGCGAATACAAGTTTATTGGATTGTTAGTTTTTCCCAACAACCCTTGCAAGTTTCTTATTTACTATGCAATACGAAACAAAACGTAACAAAAAAGCCTAAAACAATGCCCGAAAAATACAACTGAAATAAAATCAACTTGCAATAAGACAATAAACCCTCTGCATCCAACCCATAATGAGAAAAAAAATTT